ACAATATTAATTCATGACTTATAAATTACATATATCAACTATGGTTTCAGAAACATGCCGAAGCTGATATCAATCAGTTACCATTTAATACAATTTTAAAATCTATAAATATAAGTTATACAATATCGTATTAAAAGTTAAAAAAAGATGTTGTACGGTGGTCTGTTTAGGACATGTTTTATTTAATTTTATTTTTTTTAGTTAATTCTACTTTTTTTATTTTTTGTCTGCTTAATTGCCATTTTTGTTTTCTATTTTCTATTTTTGTTTGCTGAATTATGAATTAATTCTACTTATTATTTTAAATACCTGGTTTAGACAGCCACAAATTACCTGGTTCGGACCAAGAACGGATAACTTTAATCGAGCCAATTTCTATGGCTGTGTAAACGCGGCTAATGATCACATAACATGTCGGTCGGAATACTCAAAGCTTTTTAAACAGACATAAGAAATCAATCGGGACCAGAAAATATGTCGGATTACACAGAATGTTGGAGTACTCAGATGTAATTTTAACTTACCATATTTCTCAGTTCAGCTAATAATCACCAGATGGGGGTATGTTTACTCTTATAGACAACTGATAGCACTTTGCATTAAGAAATACTTACTCACTTAATATAATTGATATAGGCCTACCTCCTCACGTGAAAAGTTCATCAGCTGGAAATAATGTTTCGCTCATATGTTGTTTGGATTTTGGATTTTGTTTTGCGGTTCGGATCGTAAGTACTTCTTGGTTTATTTATTGTACGAAAATATGGCAAATTAGTCACGTGAGCAAACAAATAGCTTTGTCAATCAGGTTCGAGTTTCCTGGATTCCACTGGCGTTTCTATAGTGAAAGAATGATCTGTGGTCCCTGCTCGCCCCTCACCTGATGTTTCTAGAAACGACACCATCTATACATCAAATATACAATCATTCTAAGGGTACGTGAATAATTTACTTATTCATAAGAAACACCAATTAAGCATTCTATTTGTCGAATTCTCATTTCAACTTAACATTAATTAATCAAACAACTAGTTTGAGGATTCATCTTTAATAGGTAGGTTCATTTTATAGAATTAAATCAGTATTTTTAAAAAGTCGGACATTCTATTTAAATTGGTAGTATGGTTATTACAGAAGTAGTGATTATTTGTTTTTAACCCAACCACACCTGAGATTATTATGAGTTAATAAACGCTGAAAACTTTACGACCCTGGTATATCGAGAGTGGGTACAAATAGGGGACAGACTAACTTAATAGGGGAACTGGCATAACACAGGAGCCTCTTGTGGAACATATGAGCGGCTTCTCGCAAAGAAGTTGGTTTGGTGAATTCTGACCCATATTTAGAGAGAAATGGAAAAAAATCATGTTTTTAAATTTGTTAGAAATTGAGGGTACGAAGCCTTTTTCTTACAAGGGTGGGGGGGGGGGAAATGGATTCTGACAATCGGCTCATTTAATCAATTCAACGTAACACCATACCTCATTGCTCCCCCCCCCCTCCTCCCCTCCTCAAAACAATTAAGTCTGGCTACGAGCCTTGATCTCATTATTATAATGAAAGGAGTTCGAAAGGTTTGAGCAAACATCTAAAATCAACAAACTTCGAATTAATGATATCCTGTTCTGTTACGTATAAGTTTAAAACATCGCGGATCTAGCCAGTCCCATACTTTATAAGCTTAAAACAACTGCACTGTTAACATCTAAAAGCTTACTTTAACACTGGAGCTGAAAATCAACCTCGTTTATAATCAGATTAATGATATTTCAAGATACAAATTTGAGCTCTCGTAAGAAGATAAAATAAATTCAGACGATCATGGTGAAAATGGGTTTAATAATAATTTTCATTTGGTGTTTCTTGATGGATTGTGTTTCTTTGGAAGGTGAGTAAACTTTATTTTCCATCTGTGAGATTAAAAAACCTGAAGGACGCACTGAAGAACTACCAGTGGTGGGGCCAGTGTCAAAAAGATCCATTGCAGGCTAAACCCTATAAGCATTTTGAATGTTAACTTTTATATTAAATGCTGTCTGCCCTATGTTTGTACCCCCAGTCTCGGGAGTTTTGCGCCGCCACCGAGCACTATAGAGTTTGCTTTTATTTGCTTGGTTACGTCGAATAACTTTAATGGTGG